TATATTTTTACTCATGGTAGGAAATGTTAATACCTTTGGTGGCCGCAGTAGACGAGTGGTTAGCTTTGTGTACTAAGATTCAGACAATGAAGAGGGACTGTTAAAGTTTTGTCTTTTTTAATTGAGAGAGAAATTTGTTTTTCAGTTGCCTACTCAGGTCAAAGTAATACCTGTAGTGAAGAGTGTGTTGAATTTGGTAACTCAAATTCTTATTGGTGCTGCTGTCGGTTCTTAGAGATAAAGGATGAGACCTCAAAAGTTAAGAGTGGCAAAAATGAGGTGATCGTTGGTTTGATTACGGAAAATTTTTCATCTTGCCCTCGTTCGCTATCAGAGCCATTCCCTTAATTTAACAGTCGGGAGAAAGCAGAACAAACAGCATACCTCAGCAGTTACTATAGCGATTCCCACTTGACAATAGAGGATGCTTTTTGATAACAGATATACTCTAAATGATGTTTTCGACCTTGCTACCCGACAATGGTGACATGTTATCGGTCGACCTGCTATACAGACCAGGAACTAGTCGAAAAAAGATAAGAAAACAACAATAATCACAAGTGGAAGAAGCACATGATCTTTATGAGGTAGCTGCTAGGCTTTTATCGAAACGACTAACCCTGTAGATGCACGTACGAAACATATTAGATAGAGAGTTTATTGAAATATTTTAGAACTCTCACGCTGTAAATCATGGAATAGTACCTCCAGTCTCTTCCATTGTACACCGAGAGTCCGAGCCGGTTCGTAATATCAGCGCACATTGTAGTAGGTAGTATTCTAAATGTTTCAGAATCGCTCCCTTTATACCCAACTAAAAGGCTGACTCATTTCCTGGAGCTCTACTTTCATAGCCTCCATGACAATTCCTAACTTACTCGTTCCTAAACTTGACTAATTATCTGCTAAATGAACAAAACAAACGAAGCGAAACTCTTACTAGCAATTACCAAAACGGTGCACCCACCTTACTAGTAAAACTTTAATAACCCGTTAGTCACAAATCTATTCTTACGTGCTTCAGTTCAGCTAATCAAGTATAAAAAATAATTATGAAAACATTAGTGACCACCTTATCCCCACCACTTCTTCCCTTGCTCACCAATTGGTGCATTAATCTTAACAACAGCGACATACCTAAAGAAGCATTTAACGTAAACACAAACTACGTAAAACGCTTACCTCGGACACTTCTCGAGCACTTTAACTTGCTTGACTTCCGGCGCAATAATTTTTTATTTAGTCGCAGTCGTTTGTCTGCCGATAAAGTGTCGAAATGCTCGTACTTACAAATGACTTAATGACTTCATAATTGAATAATGGCATGAACTCAAGTGCCTGCGATTGTGACCCAGCAAACGGTCGACTGTTAAGCGCTTTCTCTCACTCTTACTCTCTCTCTGCTACCTGCCGCATTGCCATTATGTAGCGAAATTTGAGAAATACAAATTTACTTATATTAGCAATTCATGCGAATCATTCCTATAAAATCAACATTAAAACTGAAATTGCCTGCGGCAGCACCAGATGTGGTGGTGGCGTGGTAGTGGTGAGAGCAAGAAGTTAAGCACAGAAAGCAAAGAAAAACACAGCAGAGAGCGCTTACTACTTGTTAAATACGAAATATTATTAAAAGTGAAAATAGACTTACATATAAATTTACAATCTTCCCGGTAGGAAAAAATAGTAGTTATTAACCAAAATCCCACTAGTTTCCATTCTCCCATTTCCACATGGAGGTTGTCATTTAGATTTCGGAATTTGGTTACCCTAGTGTGGCAATCTGGCAATTGACAACTTTAACGTAACGCTTGACATTTTTAATGATTTACTCGCTCCTACTCGGAACGTTTTGACGTTTTAACTTAAAATATTAATTTCCGCCAAAAACTGGAATTAAATCTTGAACGTGAAAGTCGTCCTAAATAGTTTTTGTTCCGGAAACTATTGATGCTCTGAGGAAGTTGATATTTCAAGATCGTCGTACGACCTATCGTGAAATTGACAGTTGTATAACTAGTGGGATCAGCATACATTCAATATTGCGATAGTATTTGACTGTAAAAAAATGATTTTACGTGGGAACCACACAATTTGTCAACCGCTCAAAAAATGCTACTGGCGATGGACAGAGAGAAATGCTAAAGGAATACGAAAGTGGTGCTTCGAAGCACGTCTTCGGCACTGAAGCAAACCCATTTTCAAACAATCAAAACATCGATTTGATCCGTCTTATACTGTATAGTTTTTTTCTTACATAAAATAAGATTCCCTAATTATTAAAGGGTTTTTGTTCTCGAATTCTGAAATTTAAAAGACAGCCTCGTATTAGCAACTGGTGTTTGTAATACGACGATATCGAAAACGAACGTTTATGTATCAGCTTCATACTAGTTAAATACTACTTCATTTACGCATGTTGAATTTCTACTTCACCAAAAATGAAAAAAGATACTCGAAACGTGAATCTCAAGCACAACGATCACAAGCGCTAACTCGCATGATTTCGCCTTTAACATATCAGTGTCTAACCAAATTTTTTGCAAACTTTCTTGGCCTTTCCCTGCAGGGTTATTATAGAACGTGAGGAGGCAGTCCCGTTGTCCAACTAAAAGCTTTCTCGCTGGCGCAAGTCATTCGGTTAGCCATTCAGCGTTGACATCGCTGGTCGTTGCTGGTGCTGTGTGTTTCGGGTGTAAGGAAGTGACCCCCATGGGGCAAATTATTACAGTTGTTGTCGTACAAATGCTATTTTGCTATACCGAGAAAAACAGCAACAACAACGCTATGAAATACAAAATATTATTGGCATTAAATGTTTGTGCTTTCTCGCTTGGCATTTACTAACCAACCTCGTAGGCCAAGATTCCAAAAGCCTACAGCGCTGCATATATGAATGTATGTTTGTCATTTAAAGGGTGTTGAAAGGTCGTGCACACCCATGGCTTTTAGTCCTTTGCCTGACTTTAATGCAGGCTTTCGCAGCACTCTTGTGGCGCTTTCGATATTAATGTGAAGCCATAGAAGACGGAGATGGCCTTGTGGGGCGATGAAAACACAAATGATTGTGACCATAAATCAGTAAACGTTGACATGCGCTTCATCAGCCGCGTGGCGACGCTGTGCCGTTTGGCGAAAGCGAGGTCTGTTAAGTACGAGTATATATGGTGTCATTAAATGATGTGTAGGCTTTGGCAGCAGCTGGTGTTTAAAAGTGAAATAAATTTGTAATTTTTTGGTAGTTGATTTTATTGGTGAGCTCTTTAAATGTTATGCTTTGATGAGGGAGAATTTGTTAAATGCTCGTATGAATAATAAATTTTTAATGGTTGGTGAAAAGTCTAAAGATGAGCTCCCAATGGAAAGCAACAGATAAACAAGAAAAGCTTAACTGATTGAGAGTGAAGCTTGACATAATGTCATACCTGCTCAATGAGCTGCTTTTCCATTCTCCTCCGCTTGACACTATGGCTTACCAGGCTTATCAGGTTAACATTATGGCTTACCCGGTCATTGGTCTACGCAATTGCCATTTTCCTTAATAAACACCAAATTTTCCTGTAGTCTAGTGGTGTGTTGACCAAGGACAACAGACCGGTTTCTAATCGACTTGCCTTCCTGCTCTCTGAAAGAACTGATCAAAGCTCGATACGAGTATAATGGAACTGTAGGACGTCATTTCTAGTTCTCTACAAAAAAAAAACTAAGAGAAAATTGATTGCCAACCATGCAACGTTGCAATCGACCACCACAGGTGTGGGGTGCGATAGATACCTAGAGTTGGAGGATCAAACTAGATGCCTGAGGAAAAGAAAGAGACAAAATTGCGTGAATATGAAGAGCTTAAGAACTTGATCGGCAGGGATAATGCTCGAAAATTCAACGAAAAGATACGGTGACTTACAAAATGGTGAACCTGAATTGATGATTTTTGCAAAAGACGTCTCAACTTCTCACTATGATGAACTTCGAATAGTGGCTTTAAAAATAAAAAGGTGGCGAGAGTCTATGGTATTCAAATAGACAAAGTCTGTCTCTTTACGGAAAATAAAAAACAGTGGATCGAAAGCATGCCCAACTATTGGAAACTATGTCCGCTTTGCCCAATACATTAACCAAGAATGTCTCGTATGATATGCGTTAATTATTGTGACATAAGTCTAATCCTTATATAAGGTATTATCTAGCGGATTATGGGAAAGACTAAAGACAATCGACCATATATGCACCATGCGCCAAATCTTGGTAATCATGACCCATTACCTTCGATCCATCGATCTAAAGCAGTCTTCGACAGCACGTAAAGGTGCTGCTCCAATGTCGCTGTGGCTGAATTTGGTATCCCCGCTGTGTCACTGATGTTGGAAAATACCAGAAGCTCAGTAAGAGTTGGGGAGGACCTCTCCGAAACATACGATGGCAAACGAGGACTTCTTCAACTTAATGCTGAAGAAAATAATAAAATCTGTAGAGCTACATAGACAAGGCACAATCATCCTCCAGTGTGTATAATCGTTAGAGTATGCCGATGATATTGATATCGTCGATAATTCTGCTTCCACCAGACTGGAGGAGGAAGCAAAGCATAAACGAAGCGAACTATATCTCCTGCCATCAAACACTCCCTTGAAAACATCAGATGGTTATGAACAAGGTCAGCTCAACTACGTCGAGCATATATCTACAATGTTTTCTATCTAAATGAAGAGCATTATAAAAAATTATTTTGAAAACATTGCCACAATGAGAAGGTTTAATTCAATTGCTATCAGACAATAATGAATTACTTCCGCAGGGGATATAACTATAAAATATGGCCAATTAAAAATATATAGATTGTAAAACACTTACTAAAAATATTTATCAAGAGTAAATACACGAAGAAAAATCACCAAGTTCCATTGAAGACCTTATCTTTCTTCCCGATAAGATAGCAAATTCGACGCCACTTTCAAAAACCGAAAACCGCTTGTAAATATAAACAACTACTAACAGTGAATTACAAAACAGTTATCAAACTAATGTGAACAATGGTTTGTGTATATTTCGCACGCGTTTTCATAATAAACGTTTTCATATTCCTTAGCTGTGATTTGTCATTTGCAGTCGAGAATATAACTGATGGGCCACTTATCGAGGGACGACTGCTTAATAGCGCTACTTTTGGACCCACGCTTCCACGAAGTTGCGCTGAGGCACTGACTGGCTCGGCGCAGAGCGGCATCTATCAGCTGTATCTACCCGAGTGGCTGGAACATCGCTTCTTCGCATATTGCCTGAAAGATGCTAACGATGGCGATGCGTGGACTGTGGTGCAGCGTCGGCAGGACGAATTGGTGAATTTCTATCGCAATTGGCATGATTATCAAACTGGTTTTGGTAATTTGGATGGGAATTTCTTTATCGGCTTGAGTAAACTGCACGCCTTGACACAAGTGCAGCTGCAAGAGCTGTGGATCCAAATGACAGATTATTTGGGCACAACTACCTATGCAAAATACGATGGCTTTGCTGTGGGCGATGAGGAGGAGAAATATGCTTTGACAATACTGGGCAAAAATTCCGGTACGGCTGGTGAGGCTTTGAAAGGTTTTCACGATGGCCAAAAGTTTAGTACGTTCGATCAGGATAATGATGAGTATAAGGATAATTGTGCGGAGATATGGAAAGGTGCTTGGTGGTACAAGGATTGCTGGTGGAGGTGAGTGCTGAGTTAAACGCTTAAATAATTCCTTGAGCTAATGATTTTTAAATGCATTTTTCACAGCAATCTCAATGGTTCGTACAACAAAACTTTGCTTTGGAATGGACGTTATCCCAATGCCATGAAGTATACACACTTAGCGATAAGACCGAGAAAATGAGAGAAAATTAGAGCGAAAGTTGAAAAAATTGTGTTGTTGTTGTTGTGAATGATGATATAAAATAGTTATTTATTACTAAGTTCTCGTGAGGTCTGCAGAAGGTATAAGTTTCAGTGTGTGCTGTTTTCGTTGTAAAATTGAGTCCAAATTGTTTACCAGGAAGCACTACGAAAAGCTTTGGAAACGAATGTTGGATCAGTCTTTGGCAAAGCTTTTGTTCTAATTTAGCTTGTGCGTCCTGATTTTATGAGTTTTTTCCATAAGTAGGAAGCACCTACAGGTATGTATATTTGCTGCCTCCGAACGGTTTATGAATTTTTATGAGAAGGTTTTTCCCATGTCAGAAGCACACTGATTCCCTGCCGAGGGGCGATCAGAAATGAAAAAAATATAAATTGTAAATTATAAGAAAGGTAGGGCTGAACCCTTGGTACTCCGAATGCACTGCAAGGCTACCTGGTTACTGTTGCTCCAAGTTAATATATACCAAAAATAAAAGTCTGGCAATCCTTGAACTGACGTCTAATCTGTTTATATGTATATGTTTCCCAGTACTAGGTCCAACATACGCCATCTTGTGATGGGCTTTGTACTATCAGGTTAGTACTGACGAGTGCAATGATGTCAAAGATGAAGCCGTGAATCACTAGGGTCGATTAATATGTAAGTTCCAAACAGCCAGCGGTCCATCAGAATTTACACTATGTAACAATAAACTCTATTCAAAAATGAGCTAGACGATCCTGCTACCGAGGTTGCAGTAGTGCAATCCCGGCGTACGTTGAGCTGACGAGAGAATTATCAGTCCACGAGAATAACATATGGAGCCAGATATATACTCACCTAACTTTTCATCTTTGCAGATAGTGCATCCAATATTATACCCGACTGTGAGAGTGTGTGTTGTCATTCTGAACCAATTTGACGTTCCGATCGATTTTGCTATCTTGATTGCGCCACTTCTGATTGCGACCTGACTACAGAAGACTCTGCCCTGCTACTAGCGTGAACCCATTAGTCAACCGAAGAAAAATGTTATCACAGTCCAGTAGAATTATGCCCAGGGAAGCCGTAATCAATATATTCAAAGATAAAAGCTCAGTTCAGCTTGAGTGGGGTTTTACAACAACGTACCATATAGACCACATCACCTTGTCAGCATAGCCGTTTTCCCTTAATTCGAAGAACTATGCAATGTTGTCGTACATTTCGTAAAGCTCATCATGAAATCATCTGCGGTATTCGCTGGTGTCAATTGCACATATTAGTTCGACTCTAGGCAAGGTTGCTCTCTCTAGTAGCCTCCAGTTGACTAACAATTTGGTTTTTGTTTTATGCGTCTGGGAGGCGGTTTTAGTATCAGAAATTGCAGTTTCTTTCTTGCTCCTACTTCGACATAGGGAAGTTTATAACTGGTTAGCGGATTATCAGTTTAGAAAAGAAAAATTTTAGACTTTTCTTTGGTTGAAACTCACATACTGACTCTTTTTCATTAAAAATATTTCAGTTTCACTTTAACGAACCCATTCCAACACACTCTCCTTTGAAACATTATTCTATGCTAACTTCATACCATCAAACACTTTGAAGATGAAACACAAACAGGATATTCAAATAATAAAAAGCTTCCATTTGAGAGGATGAAGCATCAACATTATCGCGCAACAGCTGGACCGTGGATTTGTCGTTTGAAAAAATATTGTAATACGTGAGGTAGCCAAGTTTGTTTAACCTGCTGCCACAAATGACATTGCCGAAGGGGAAAATAAATTAAAAGAATGACAATCGACACAACTGAAAGCATTCCACACAGCAATTGGTCAGCCAACATGCGCGGATGTTTGTAAACTCATACAAGCATACGAGTGTATGGAGTTAGTGTCGCGTGAGCAAATTGTAGCGTATGCAAATGTCCATCAACTTCGGGAGTGAGGCTTGCAACTGGTCTATTGAAATTTACAAATGTTGTAAATATTGTCGTATATATACATATTTATTTTAGTAGCAAAGTACAATACTTCTCAACTCAAGAGCTTTTGCTTTGCTCTATGATAGTTATATATTTGTATAGTCATCATATAGATATGTGTATCGGCTGAAGCCAACAGAGCAAACTAAGGGAATTGTAATAATAAGTTTCTAGTTGCTTTAACCGCGCTTCGTTGCACGATTGAAAGCCATTATGTGAAGGCATAAAAGGATTTCGCGGCACAAGTAACAAGGGTTTCGGTATGTGGCCACTGAAATGGAATGAAGAACGTGTATCAAGAGGAAAAGGGGGTAGATAACTTAAACTCCAACTGGTAGTCACACCAATATGCAGAGTTCGTAAAACTGAGCGATGACCTATTTTTGCTACCGTTATCTTGCTCAAGTCCCTAAAAGTTGCTGTCTCTAGGGACTTCAAACTACTCCTACCAAGTGTGAGGCTTTCGTAAAGTAAATGTCTTAAGCCTTCAGGTTCTTCTTGTCTGCAACTTCTGTAGAAGTCGTTAGATGGTACGGCCAATTAAAGATGCCCTGTAAGAAGACTTATAACTGCTCCGCCTTGCAAGCTCGCCCGCCGTAAGGAGACGGTACATTACTGGGTTCGAGCACCCATAACAATTTGAAGGAGAACTACCTAGCCATCATGTAATATGCGGCAATTTTCAAATTCCACAAAAAAACAAATTCCAGTTTTTTAATGTGGCCTGTCTACGCGAAAAGATTTGAATAGGATTTTCTGAAAGCACAATTCAGTTGAGACAATTAACAGCCCGATTTATGTGTATAGCCGCCAATTCCGCCTGGAAAACATTACAGTGATTCGGCAAGCGACCGCATTTGCAAATACCAAGCTTCCTTAATTAAACCCAACACCGACCCTGTACCGACACCGTCTAAAATAAATTAACTTGGTGGATATTTACGCGCCTTAAGTTGCTGGCTTTAAGGCCGTGAAAAGTAAAAGGAAAGATGTTTATTTTTTGTTTTTGGTGCACAAACACTTTAAGTAATTTATTTTTTATTTAATTACTTATTATTTGTTAATTAATTATTTTTTCTGTTTATATAATTATTATTGGTTGCACAAACTATAACACTGGAGATGCCGCGATAAAATACGCCGTGCGCGCGCGTAGGTGGTTGGAAAGATTGTGTTTAAGTATACCCTTTTTTGTTAGCTCGAACTACCGCTGTTTAAACGATAGTTCGGCTAACGAAGTAGGGTATACACGGAAAGAAGGATAGCCGCGTGAAAGGAGACACGGAAGAATGGGAAACCGGAAGTTGGCGCGCACGGCGTTTACAATTTAGCTTAATGATGCGCGCTTAAACAGTGGACTTGTCCTCTCCCATTAGTTTCTATGAATGACTACTTTGGAATTTGTCGTGAAGTCTGTGAATAATATGCAGTAATCCCTTTTTTTGGTATACGGAGCCTCCCAAAGATATTAGTAAGCTCTTGTGTAGCCCTACCGCGGCTCAAGCAGCATTATTCAGCCCAATTATGTTCATGATCCACTAATACACAGTTAGAGTATGCATCTCGCTTTAGGGTAAACGTAAATATGTATGTATACAAATATTACTTGAATGTTACTTGATAATTTGTTAAACCAGTGAGCATCATGCTCCTTTTTCTTGTATCCCTTTTTTCACTTTGCTCCATGGCACGAATGGGAGATACAAGATCCTTTTAGTTCTTCTCAACCTAATTTTTCAAACGAATTGGTTTCCACCAGCATGCATATATCTCAGTCCATATATCTTCAACATCTCACCGTCCCTGATACACCGTTGTTGGTTATAGGTATCCTAGGAATAATGAAAGCTTTGGTGAAATCGAAAACTCCTAATATCATCTCATCGTGCGTTGTCATGCTCCTCGGTAGTGCAATACAAAGAGGAGGAGGAGTGATGAGCGGCATGTAGAGTTTAGTATTTGTTCTAAGAGGGAGTCTGTCCCCTACTCTCCGTTTATACTTTGAATTTCTTAATATACAAATATCCTTTTTGGTGGTAATAATGGTTCCAAAAAATATATTTTTGACCGTCCGTATGTCCGTCAGTAGTAAATTAACACTTCATTCGCTACGTCTGTGCAAAGGGAAAAGAGTCAAAAGATAAAGGATCAGCATGTCTGAAATTTCGAAAATATATTTTTCTCATTTGCTATACAACAACAGATTTCATGGCTGATGTTGGCGCAGTGGTAGAACACTCGCCTGTTAAGTCAGGATCCGTTGGTTCGATCCCTGCCATAAGAAGTTCGATGAGGAGCTGTGGTGATCTCCGGGGCAGCTCTTACTTCTACCATTTTTCTTTGTTTTATAACAAATATTCCAGTCATGCAAACAAACCAGGCCTTCAGTTTAGTTAATACTTATAAAAAAAATATTAGTATCACAGCAAAAACAATTAGGAAGTTACTTCTGTTAAGTTATGTGGACTATAGAGTTCTAGCGACGACGAATACCGCACAAGATATACAACGATTATGTCATGGTTGAACGACAGCATGTACGTTAGCCCCCCAGCATGCTTGTAAAGTATTTTATTAATTGGAAACAGAGAAAAAGGAGGAAAAGGGGGCGAAAACCATGGATTTATTTTGTATTTTCAACATTTGAAAGAAGTAACGACTGGCTCGCTACAGCTGATTTGGCTATATCGCTTCGTTAAAAGAGACCTTTTTCCTTCCAAAAAATCAACTGTTGCTCAAAGAGAGAGTTTAGCCCAGCCAATGTATGCTAAGATCTTCCGTGGCAAGGTTATGGCCGGCAATCTAGTCTTTTCTTTTTGCTGCTGACCAAGAAGTTTAAAAGAAGATGAAGAGTTTTGAAAATATATTAGTTTTAGCTGGCTTGGAATTCTCTTGGACCTGAGATGAACAATTTATCTTCTTTGTTTAAACGTACGCTTAACATGGCCCTACCTTAACCAAAAACCAGATCCTTTTGGGGGCACCCTAATGCGCCTTTTATATATAAAGACCGTGTAAATCAAATAAAAGATGAGATTTCTAGTCAACTGCCATCAAGCGCGAACCGGACAGAGGACATTTGTACAAAAATATAAGACAGTAATAAAAACTTTGTAATTAATAATAAAATAACAATTC